TTTTGTCCTGAATAAAAAAGTGTTATGTTTTATGGCAAATCCAATACATCACATTACTGAGTACCACTCTACATATTTTCAAGCATAGTGGTGCATCATGTTATGGGTATGCTTGTAATCGTTAAGGACTGGCGAGTTTTTCAGGATAAAAAAGAAACGGAAACCTGGTTCAGTCTGCTTTCCACCAGACACTGGGAGATGAATTCACCTTTCAGCAGAACGATAACCTAAAACAAAAGGCCATATCTATACTGGAGTTGCTTACCAAGAAGACAGTGAATGTTCCTGAGTGGCCGAGTTACAGTTTTGACATAAATCTACTTGAAACTCTATGGAAATACCGGAAAATGGTTGTCTAGCAATGATCAACAATCATTTTGACAGAGCTTGAAGAATTTTGAAATGAATAATGAGCAAATGTTGCACAATCCAGGTGTCATAGGATGCCACCTTTCCAACAAGTTAGTTCCTCACATTTCTGCCCTGCTAGAGCTGCCCCGGTCAACTATAAGTGCTGTTATTGTGAAGTGGAATCGTCTAGGACAACAATGGCTCAGCCGTGAAGTAGTAGGCCACACAAGCTCAAAGAACGGGACCACCAAGTGCTGAAGCGCACTGCGCGTAAAAATCGTCTGTGCTCTGTTGTAACACTCACTGCTGTTCCAAACTGCCTCTGGAAGCAACATCAGCACAAGAACTGTTAGTCGGGAGCTTCATAAAATTGGTTTTCATGGCCGAGCAGACGCACACAAGCCTAAGATCACAATGCGCAACGCCAAGTGTCGGCTGGAGTGGTGTAAAGCTCACCGCCATTGGACTCTGGAGCAGTGGAAACACGTTCTCTGGAGTGATAAATCACGCTTCACCATCTGGCAGTCCGACGGACTAATCTAGGTTTGGCGGATGCCAGGAGAACTCTACCTGCCCAAATGCATAGTGCCAACTGTAAAGTTTGGTGGAGGAGGAATAATGGTCTGGGGCTGTTTTCATGGTTCGGGCTAGGCCCCTTAATTCCAGTGAAGAGAAGTCTTCAACCTTACTAATGCTTGTGGCTGAATGGAAGCAAGTCCCCGCAGCAATGTTCCAACATCTAGTGGAAAGCCTTCTCAGAAGAGTGGAGGCTGTTATAGCAGCAAAGGGGGGACCAACTCCATATTAATGCCCATGATTTTGGAATGAGATGTTCGACGACCTGGTGTCCACATACTTTTGGCCATGTAGTGTACTTTCTGAAGGCACTGTATGTTACAAGGCTTCACTAGATGTTCTATAGTCAGAATAAGAACCAGATACCTTTATTTTCCTTTATCACCTAAAACTAAAGAAGTTAATCTCAAAACAGTGAATGACATTCACCCATGTTATGATTTCTTAAGACAGAGATTTAACTTAGATTTTAACCATTGTGTGTTTTGTAACTCAGATATTGAAACGGCAGAACATATTTTTTCTCACGTCAGCCTACTAAAACTTTTTAGGATGCATTTCAGTACTGGATCACATATAAGGATCTATTCATACCAACTTTAACATTTAATAATACCAGGTTTGGGTTTTCTAACGTAGGACAGGAAAGCTGAATGTATGTATAATAACTTGATCTTCATGGTAAAATATTTCATTCACAAATGTCGTTTTATTAAAACTACCTCCCTGTTTGTCTTTTAAAACGAGGTAAAGATATATAAACAGAAATAAATAAAAAACGTGAATTATTTACATAAGTATTCAGACCCTTTGCTATGAGACTCAAAATTGAGCTCAGGTGCATCCTGTTTCCATTGATCACCCTTGAGATGTTTCTACAACTTGATTGGAGTCCACCTGTGGTAAATTCAATTGATTGGACATGATTTGGAAAAGTACACACCTGTCTATATAAGGTCCCACAGTTGACAGTGCATGTCAGAGCAAAAACCAAGCCATGAGGTCAAAGGAATTGTCTGTAGAGCTCCGAGACAGGATTGTGTCGAGGCACAGATCTGGGGAAGGGTACCAACAAATATATGCAGCATTGAAGGTCCCCAAGACCACAGTGGCCTCCATCATTCTTAAATGGAAGAAGTTTGGAACCACCAAGACTCTTCCTAGAGCTGGCCGCTAAGCCAAACTGAGCAATCGGGGGAGAAGGACCTTGGTCAGGGAGGTGACCAAGAACCCAATGGTCACTCTGACAGAGCTCCAGAGTTCCTCTGTGGAGATTGGAGAACCTTCCAGAAGGACAACCATCTCTGCAGCACTACACCAATCAGGCCTTTATGGTAGAGTGGCTAGACGGCAGCCACTCCTCAGTAAAAGGCACATGACAGCCCGCTTGGAGTTTGCCAAAAGGCACCTAAATGACTCTCAGACCATGAGAAACAAGATTTTCTGATCTCATGAAATATAGATTGAACTCTTTGGTCTGAATGCCAAGTGTCACGTCTGGAGGAAACCTGGCACCATCCCTATGGTGAAGCATGGTGGTGGCAGCATCATGCTGTGGGGATGTTTTTCAGCAGCAGGGACTAGGAGACGAGTCAGAATCGAGGGAAAGATTAATGGAGCAAAGTACAGAGAGATCCTTGATGAAAACCTGCTCCAGAGCGTTCAGGACCTCAGACTGGGGTGAAGGTTCACCTTCCAACAGCACAAGAACCCTAAGCACACAGACAAGACAACGCAGGAGTGGCTTCGGGACAAGTCTTTTAATGTTCTTGAGTGGCCCAGCCAGAGCCTGGACTTGAACCCGATCGAACATCTCTGGAGAGCCCTGAAAATAGCTCTGTGCAGCGACGCTCTGAATACTTTTTAAAATAAATGTGCTTTGTCATTATGGGGTATTGTGTGTAGATTCATGAGGTAACAAAATGTGGAAAAAGTAAAGGGGTCTGAATACTTTCCGAATGCACTGTATACTTCCATACATTTTTTAAACTGGTACCAGGACCTTCAGATGAGGCTTGTGAGGCTTGTGGGCGTCCTAGAGCAAAAGAGAGAACACCAACGTGTTCGCAAGAGTCCCAGCTTTCAATAGAGGGGTCATAACAGTTTGTAAACCATTGGGACAAAGGAATGACATTTTCATGAGAAGACCGAATTTCGGGATCTCTCATGATCTGACAAACACAGCTCTATCTCTGCCACCTTTCCCCGCAGATGAGGAAGGGCGATATCGGCGGATGTGTTGGATTGATACGCAGCCCAAAAAAACACATATCTCTAGTTTAAACAGACGGATTTTGATGAGGATTTTTATATTATGTTAATACAATTTTTGCGAGGGCGCGACCATTGTAGGCCAAGGGTTGAAGTTCTTCTTCTTCGGGATTTGGTTGGCGGATCGCATCCAACTTTTAGGTGCATACATCGCCATCTACTGTACTGGAGTGTGAGGCCAGTCACAGCCTACCTACATTAAATTATTTTGATTAGTCCTGTTCATCTAAGAAAGTGAAATATAGCCTGAGACACCACCACCTACTCTCATTAAAAACCCACTACCCCATTCCACTACTTTGACCCTATCTGCTCCTGCACATGCCAACGGCCTGGGAGGACGGGACACCACCCCTCAACACACCCTGGAAATCTTCTGAAGTAAAATCTTGTATACCCAAATACTGTACATCTCTGCAGCTGCCACCACAACATATATTGTCTGTGATTTACGTTCCATTTCTGCAGTAGAGTTGATAACCATTGCTATGAACGCTAAGAAGTCAACCTTACTAAGACCTGCTTAGGCCAAGAAACACGAGCAATTAGACCGGTGGAAATTTGTCATTTGGTCTGGAGTCCAAATTTGAGATTTGTGGTTCCAACCGCCATGTCTTTGTGAGACGCAGTGTGGGTGGACGGATGATCTCTGCATGTGTAGTTCCCACCGTAAAGCATGGAGGTGGTGTTATGGTGTGGGGGTGCTTTGCTGGTGACACTGTCTGATTTATTTCGAATTCAAGGCACACTTAACCAGCAAGGCTACCACAGCATTCTGCAGCGATACGCCATCCCATCTAGTTTGGGCTTAGTGGGACTATCATTTGTTTTTCAACAAGACAATGACCCAACACACCTCCAGGCTGTGTAAGTGCTGCATCAGATGACCTGGCCTCCACAATCCCCCGACCTCAACCCAATTGAGATGGTTTGGGATGAGTCGGACAGCAGAGTGAAGGAAAAGCAGCCAACAAGTGCTAGGCATATGTGGGAACTCCTTCAAGACTGTTGGAAAAGCATTCCAGGTGAAGCTGGTTGAGAGAATGCCAAGAGTGTGCAAAGCTGTCATCAAGGCAAAGGGTGGCTATTTGAATATATATTTGATATGTTTAACACTTTTTTGGTTACTACATGATTCCATGTGTTATTTCATAGTTTTGATGTCTTCACTATTATTCTACAATGTAGAAAATAGTAAAAAAAATAAAGAAAAACCCTTGAATGAGTAGGTGTGTCCAAACATTTGACTGATACTGTACGTGTTGCACCTGAAACAACGCAGTGGATTTGGCACAAAAGCTCTAAAAGGATAACTGATATATCCTAACATGACTTTGTCGGGTAGAGACTGATTCAAAACTCAAAAGGACTGACATTAACTCCTCTGTTTCACCACGCTCCTCACCGTGTCTGCGTCGCACCAAACGGCAGGCATCACAAACACCGCTTCAATCGCTTCATCTCCACACTTAACGCTACCCCAGAAATCACTCCTTTCATTGGTGCCCTGTTCCTAAGAACAAAGCAAGAAACAGATGTTGACCCAATTTGCGTGACACAGCCGTTAAAAAGTTATGAATGAGGTCCCAGGCGTAGAGTTAGAGTTCTCGGTTGAACGTGGACACGCATTGGACAGTTCTTGCACTTTGAAACCCACGCCCACCTTGACGTATAACACCGCACACCTGTCGGAATGGCATGAAAAGAGTGTATTCTGAACTAAAGTAAACAGTGGCTATTTTCAATACCTACGTCCAGAAGGTCAACGATGCTGTGAAATACAGATTAGAAGAGGTCCTAAAATGGCTGTCAAAACAACAATATGTTTCTTGCGGAGGTCATGTCCTTGTAATCTTTTAGGTACATTACCTATGCAGCCCTTATCAGCGAACGGCAGTCGTCGATGCAGTTCAAGTCAACCAACCAAACAAGGGAATTCAACTAGAAAGGTGCGTGCGTCACTAACTAACTAGCTAGTTATATGAACTCCAAATGTTTCATGGGATTGGGTTGATTACAATGATTTGTCATCAATTAATTGATTTCGTGTGCTTATTACATGTCTCTGGTCTGAATCTCAACCTAGACTGGAAACCGGACGTTGAATTGAATTGAATTATATGTCGGGCATAAATGAGCGTTTGGATCAGGAGAGTTTCCTCTCACGACCTCTACAAGCCAGAAAATGGAATAAAATGATATTTTAACTGACCTTACTGGTTGTCCGTGCAGTTGGTCATTTTGCAGGTTGGAATGTGAGACAATATATCTACAGGAATGTATAATTACATCAACTTTTCAAAGCGCTGGTAGTGCATTCAGATTTCTATCACCTGAAGCATGCACACAAGATGAAAATACTTGCACGAGACGCATGCATGCTTGCCGAACTCGTCCACATGTTTACATGGTTCTGCACCTGCACGTGTTTACATAGAACTAGCTAGTAACAGCACTCTTCTTGGTTGATGAGAAGAAGCATATTCTTACTGCTAGTTACAAGTCATACCATCATCATACACAACAGGGCAACTTCCTGCTTACAGAAATATTTGCCAAGACTACCACTATTGCCTCTTCCTAATGTGGACATGCCTCAAGGGAGGCTGCAAATTGGTAAGGTGCTGGCAGATTTGAATTCAAATGTGGATTTCTCTATGCAGGAAGTCACTCTGCTGTGTATGATTATGTCATAAAACAAAGCTAAAATGTTGCAAGGAGCCAGCAGGCGATACTGTCACCTAATAACCAAACCCCCTAAATAAGAAAATTGCCTGGCTTCAAATGTTGAATTGATATGAGGGGATGGTTATAAGACAGCCAAGGTGTGATACACTTTGCTGTGTACGGGCTGTTTATGGAAGTAACATTGATTAGAATGTTTGATTTATCTTTCTTTTTGAAACAGAGATCCCAGTTCATCCCAGCTGCTGACTCTAAGCACGACTGGATTGGTCCCCCACATAGGCTGTCAAACCTGCGGCCGATATTATACCACATCCATGTGAATGAGACTGAACTCAAGAGGCAGCTTAGAACCTTGAGGCAAGAGACGAAGGATTGGAACCATGCATTCTAGACAAATCAGAACATCACTTTCAACAAGGTTGGCATCCTCAATTATTCATTGACTCAACTCAGAGGCACCTAAAGAAGTAGTGCACTGAGCCTCACACATTATTTACTACTTACCTCAGCTGTTGTTGATAGTTTTACGTTTTACTAGTCGTATGTACAGGATACATATGGTATACACCGTCCAACTAAATGCTTACTTGCAGGTTCCTTCTCGACAATGCAACAACAATAAGAAATAATAAAAGAGAAGAATACGAACATGAAGTAAATGTCTCAGTAGAATAGAATAAACATGTTAGTATAATACAGGAAGGCACAATTTATAGTCCAATATTTACACGTGTTTTGGGGAAGGGGGGATTGGGGGGCAAGTGTTTAAATTGTACAGTATTTAGCAATAATAATAAGAGTCTGGTAGCAGCAGTTGTGATGTGTGTGTGTGTGTGTAGCATGAATGTGTGTGTGTTTGTGGATGAGTGTATGTTTGTGTGGGTGAGTGAGTGAGTGTATGTGTGCTAAGGTGTGGAGAGTCAGTGCAGGTGGTCAGTCCAGTTCAAGTGTTCAGCAGTCAGATTGCTTGGAGGTAGAAACTGTCTCTGAGCCTGTTGGTATCAGACCTCATGCTCCGATACCGTCTGCCCGACGGTAAGGGAGTGAACCGCTCGTGGCTGGGGTGTGTGGGGTCCTTGATGATGATGCAGGCCTTCCTCAGGCACCGTTTTGAGTAGATGTCCTGGATGAGTGGGAGCCCGGTCCCAGTGATGTCTTTGCCACTCGCTGGAGGGCTTTTTCAACAATCAACTCCTTTGTTTTGCTGACTTTGAGGGAGATGTTGTTGTCCTGGCACCACAATACCAGTTCACTTACCTCCTCGCTATAGGCTGACTCGTCCTTGTTGGTTATTAGGCCTACAACTGTGGTGTCATTTTACATTTACATTTAAGTCATTTAGCAGACGCTCTTATCCAGAGCGACTTACAAATTGGTGCATTCAACTTAGGATAGCCAGTGGGACAACCACCACTGGGGGAGGGGGGGTGTAGAAGGATGGGTTATCAGCAAACATGATGATGGAGTTGGTGTCGTGCAAAGCCACGCAGTCATGGGTGAACAGGAAGTGCAGCAGAGGGCTGAGGACACACCCCTGGGGGGGCCCTGTGTTAAGAGTCAGTGTGGAGGAGGTGTTGTTGCCAATCCTCACAACCTGTGGTCTGCCTGTCAGGAAGTCCAGGATCCCGTTGCAGAGGGTGGTGTCCAGACGCAGGGCTCTGAGCTTGGTGTCGAGCTTGGAGGGAACAATAGTGTTGTGATACACTTTTACTGTGTGTTTCTTGGTTATTTTACTTAATTTCAGCAGCCTCTGTCTAGCATAAGCCTCCTTGGACCTTAAATGAAATGTCCTATGTAGTAACAGCCAAGCTAAGCAGGAACCTATTAGAAAATGTGTGTTTTGAGTGAGGTATAATAAATATAGATAACACACCAGAGGGCAGCACTGCATTGTTTGTCAAATATTGAGGTGAATATGTTATACAGTAACGGTACTGTAGTAGTGTATTCATTTTTTTTTTTACTGTGTGATGTGTTCTAAGGCTATTTCTGTTTTCCCATTTAGGAAAAAGATACCTTCATCCTCTCACAACTCAAGGAGAATGTATTGACTGAGAGAGATGAGGAAGGTAAGCTGATATTGTGCTCTGAAAGTATGAAGGATATCAAACTGATGGATGACAGGGGGTGACTGAAATGTCTTGATGTTTGTTGTTCCTTTTATTTCCTCAGGAAGGAAAAGGCCTCTAAACAGTGAAAAAATGGCAGTCTTACTAAAAACTGCCTGGATGAAAACTGCATAAGACATGCCAATTACAATAAGTACGTTACGAACTATTACTTAGAAATTATCAAACAGGTAGATGCCCTGTATCAAATGTCCTACTGTTTAGTGAAGGGTGAAATAGCAGGTTATGATCAACTACTCACACTGTCATTGAAATATAATGATTCATGTGATATAACTCATGCTCAAGGTCTCAACTATTTGCTGTATTTGTCAATATGTGAATATGATAATGAGTTCTCTCCTATTTATTGCTGTATTGTCTCTCTCATCCCTCCCCTCATCTCATTGACAGGGACTGGTACAGACGTAACTTCAAAATCACCTTGCTTATGGGCTGAATGGCTTTCCACGACATCTGGACAACGCTTGCAGAGAGAAGAGGCTGGAAGAAAGGAAGCCCTACCACATGATACTAATTAAATATGGTATATTCTGTTCCATGATTACCTTAGTGTTCATTCTTTATTTGGTGTAACAGTTGAGTGAGCATAGAAACCATAGGTAGGAACACAGCACTCCCACCACCCCTCATGATAATCCTTTTACCAACAGTGACATATGAGTCACTAGTTCTTATGATCTGGTCTTATAAAAGAACTGAGGAGTGTTAGACATATCTAATCAAAATTATGGAGTTGATTGATTGTATGATAGAGCTTTTGTGCATATACACTTTATTCATTCAACATGATGATGATGATGACACAGCACTTTATTCATCAAAATAGATGTATGCTACAGTAAACAATCGATTTTTGGACTTACAAATTAATTATATGTACCCATTGAGTGCCTCATGACCTTATTTCAACTGTCATACCTAATCAGAACCCAAAATATACGTTTTGTTTTACTACAATGTTTGTAAACAAAGTAAACGTAAACGAACACTATATAGCCTCAAAACATGGTTAAAACTATAATTTTGATATCATGGATGGTCAGTCCTTGCATCCATAGCTTTGTCTATGAATTTGAGAATGGTACATTTCTCCAGCCCCATCCCTCAGCTTTTTACAGAAACAGGGGCGCTGAATACGCTCTGTGATTGTTTGTACTCCTGATTGCCGCTTTAATCTAAATATGATGACATCATGATCAAGGAAGGGAGCTGGGTCGCGAGGACGGTAACGCCATTTTCGCACAGCATTAGACCGACAAAATTGTCTCTAAAGATGTTAGACCTAGTTACATGGAATGAAAAGTAGCTCGTGTATTTAGCTACCTTGAAAGATCGTGTAACACAGGAGAATATATCTCATTTTTTGTTTAGCTATCTCTTGACGTACTTTGGTATGTAGTCACCGATGATGCAGCGATAAGCAATCAAATCCGCGGCGTGACAGCTAACGTTAGCTAGCTAAACCGCATTGGTTTAGGTATCTCCGGTCATTAAGGAAGAAAAGCGCAAGCTATATAATAATTCGCTAGGTTAGCTGAGCAAAGTTTATAAACAGTTAATAATTTGGTATTTCAGAAGTATACAACATTTGAGGGTTTTGAATCAGAAACTCTGGATTGAAGTCGGACTTTACTTGGGGGCAACGGATGTCCAACAGGACGGTAAGATTGACTGGCTGGGAGTGTCTGTCAGTGGCAGCTAATGTTGACTACCAGCTAACGTTAGCTAGTTAGATGCCGAACATAGACTTGCTGTTATCATTGCATCTTTAAGACAATATATTTCTGTTCAATTAACAGAAGTCAGGCTTTTTAATTAATCTGACAAATTATAATTTGTGGCTAGCTAGCTACAGTACACTTGTGATTTATCCTGAGATTAGGTAGTTAGCATAAACTTCCTGAATCCTCCTATCTGTTATAACCACAATGCACGCACTAAAACTGCGGCTAGCTAAGTTTGAGGACACTGAACTGGTACTACAGATTCCTCAATTTATAGAATACGAATAGTTAACTAGATAACCGAGAAGGGGAACTTAATGAAAACAACAGTTCAGTTGGCCAAGTATCTGTGTCTACTGTAGCTAGATATGTGTTCTCATCACCCTCAGAGCTTCTGTTTTTTTTTTCTGTGACTGCCTGCCTAGCGTTGATGGTTGTCATTGAAATTCAGGAGAGATGTTCTGTAGGAGGACTCTTGTGCCCTCTGAAAGTGTCTGTGTTGATGAGGAGGATGTAGACGCTGTGGTGACTAGGGATACTGAGCCCAGTGTATTTGGGCTGACAGCTGGGGGTTTGAAAGTCAGTCACTGCTGAAAAGGGGCTGTGAATGGGAATTCTACTAGGCTGCGTGGAACTGAGGAACTTGCCTGTCTCAGAGCTTGCCGATGTTTTGTTTTTTCTTCATTTTTGGAGGAATAGTACAGCTGAAATAATACTATACACCACTCACTGTACCTATCCCACCCCTTCAGTACCCACCCTCCATTTCTTGCTTCTGGAGCTGCATTGAATTACCAAAAATATCCATGGGTCTACACGTGTCTGCTTAACTTGCAAAAAATAAGTGAAGGGTTGTTTTGAAGCTGATATGTCCTGACCTGAGTGTCAGTGTGAGGAGGAGAGGGCCAGTGCAGTCGAATGGCCTTGTTAGAGTCCATCCTCAGTGTGAAGATGCCCAAGGGCAAAGTAACCATGCAAACGACCAGCAAATCCCTTAGACTGAAGCCCAGGGGATGCTGCCATCTATAAAACGCGGATGCTGCATAGTGCATGGGAAGGACAATGACACACACACACACACACACTGAAGTTGTGGATGCTGTTGTGGTCAGTGTGGGTTGGCTGGTTGGGTGGGAAGTTTCTCTCAGTATCCTAGCTCCGGAGTCACAGTTGATGATTATCAGCTTGCATAAGGCTGACTAACCCTCTGAGTAGTCTTACACAATCTCTACATCTTAATACAAGAATGTCCGCCAGTACAAGCACTGTGTTGGTTCCTCTTTTTCACTGATTGGTTTTTGCTTTCTCTACCAAAGAGCCACACAGTGGAGGTGTCATAAAACCTTGCGGTCAAGCAGGGAAATGGTTCCAATCGTTTTTCCACCATTAATTTTTCCCATAGGGAATTTTTAAATAAGGGCTGGGTTTCGTGTAGGCTTACCCTGCCGTGACGTTTTGATGACCATGTAAATCTCTCTTGGACAAGGTGACTTTTATCAATATATTCGGCTCTATTTACTCTCTGATTCAAAAACGCTAATTAGCATCAAAGTAGACATCATGCAAAACCACAAATCCCTGCAAGCACCTGCATGTCATCTCTAGCTGACACCTTTGCTAACAGGTACTGTCAATTTAAAACTTGCACAAGACAGTTCACAGAATTGTCCATTTTAAAGAAATGTAGCCAGTTTATTCATTACTACATTTACCTAACATTAGTTAGGTAAATGTAGTTTAATCCAGAGATTCTTACCTTTGCCTCGATTCTGCAGTCTTGTCCAGATTATGGCATTTGTAGTTCTTTATGATAGCCACATTAGGAGCTAATTAGCATTTCATTTTTGGGGTGTAAATACAAGCAAATATATTGATAAATGTCACCGGCCCATCAATGCTGCTAATTTTAGAGAATTTTAGAGGCCCCCATCTTGGCGATATTGTGACATTTTTGCATTTTTAAGCCAATCTTCTGCAATTCTATAAATTTTGATTTTTCTTCTTGCAAGCCGAAGAACAACATCACGGGGGTGGCAGCATCATGCTTTGGGGTGCTTTGCTGCAGGAGGGACTGGTGCACTTCAAAATAGATGGCATCATGAGGAAGGAATATTATGTGGATATATTGAAGCAACATCTCAAGACATCAGTCAGGAAGTTAAAGCTTGTTCGCAAATGGGTCTTCCAAATGGACAATGACCCCAAGCATACTTCCAAAGTTGTGGCAAAATGGCTTAAGGACAACTAAGTCAAGGTATTGGAGTGGCCATCACAAAGCCCTGACCTCAATCCTATAGAACATTTGTGGGCAGAACTGAAAAGATGTGTGCATGCAAGGAGGCCTACAAACCTGACTCAGTTACACCAGCTCTGTCAGGAGGAATGGGCCAAAATTCACCCAATTTATTGTGGGAAGCTTGTGGAAGGCTACCCGAAACGTTTGACCCAAGTTAAACAATTTAAAGGCAATGCTACCAAATACTAATTGAGTGTATGTAAACTTCTGACCCACTAGGAATGTGATGAAAGACATAAAAGCTGAAATAAATCATTCTCTCTACTATTATTCTGACATTTCACATTCTTAAAATAAAGTGGTGATCCTAACTGACCTAAGACAGGGAATTTTTACTAGGATTAAATGTCAGGAATTGTGAAAAACTGAGTTTAAATGTATTTGGCTAAGGTGTATGTAAACTTCAGACTTCAACTGTATATCAGTACACTCGTAACAACCTAAGCATTACGAAACTTCTATTCGATTAAATAAACCTCACATAAGAAATAAGCCCCCCCAAAAAAGTTGTCGACCAAATTCGACACTCTCATTGACCTCCATACAAAAACGTATTGCTTGGTGGGCGAAACAACAAAAAAACACCATCTGCTGGAGGGAGACATATTTTCTGCTGAGTTGGGCCCCTCTCTACCTCTTCCTCTCTGGGAAAGTGCACACAGCACAGAAGGAGCAAAGGAGACTAGAACAAAAAGATTAACACCTACATTCTTGCGATACAGGCATTTGGAACATTGCGCTAAAACATACATTCAAATTAATCTAATTAATTCAAAATATCTGCCAGCCCTAATGAGTTGTTGACCAATGGTATTACTGTAAAGTTACCTCCAATCAGATATCAGACCTCAGGATGTGGAGAGCAGCACAGAGAAGGCTGAATTTCTGAGAAGACAATAAACCCTCTTGCGTACAG